CGGAGACTGACATGTGGAGAATTGGCATGATTAAGAAGTCCGCACTAGAGATCTATCGAACTTTTAAGCAGGAAATCGCCAAGGAAAGGATCTATGATAATACTCGGGGTAGTTCTCTACTGTTACAGGCCAGGACGGGAGTATTGCGAACCAAGACATATCGGGCCAAATACGAAGGGGTAGACACAGTATGCAGTGCGTGTGGAGAGGAAGAAAAAACTGCCGAACACTTGATAATGTTCTGTAAAGGGCTTCACCCTATAGTTCAGGATGATGGCGCAGAGTTTTTCAAAGCACTGGGGTTTAGGGACAGGGAGGGCAAAATAGACTTTAAGCGGGTAGACTTAACTAGAAGAAGGTTATCTGATTAATGGCTAAAGTCAAGGCACGAGTGAAAATTAAACCCTTCACTGCAAAGTACGAATCCTCAACTTGATTATTTGAAGGGAAAAAAAAGATAAATCTAATGGTTAGTTCACCAAGTATTACGGCTAGGTGGCGTTAGCCGCCGCCTGCATAGAGATCGATTTGAATATCTCTCATTTTCTCCAACCACACCAAAGTTGACACACATACGGCTGCTTGCACTGCTGTGTGGCATCCTGCTCCTTTCATTGAGCCTTTTTGCTGTATGTGTTGTGGTGGGCCTACACGCAGGTGCCAACACATTTGCTTTTATGGCAGCTGAGGTGAGCTTTTACCTACTTTTGCCCTATTTTGTTATTTTAGTCTCAGTCATCATCGTACATTTGTTTACTTGTTATGATTGATATCTTCTAGATAATTGTGGTCTGTATAGGAAATCACACATCTTTACTCATTTAATATTCTACAGTTTGGTGGTTCTGCCCAAGAACATTTGAGTTGTCCTGTTCACACACTTAAACGTAAGCTGATGTGTGACAGGCAAACATTTTGATAGTTGGATAGTTGATTATTGTGCTTCTCAGGCAGCCAATCAGTCTGCTCTACAGAACACATCATAACACACTATTTTTCACACGTGAATGTAGAGGTTGGTGTGTCTTCATCATCAAACACCTCGTTCAAACTCTTGCTAAACACTAAACACACATGTATGTGATCAACACAAAATGCACTTGACATGTTTATTGAAAGTGATAATGTGTGCAAGAGAAAATGTGGAATAACAGATAACCTTAATAAAAAGAGGTCCGTGGTTCAAATTCCGGTACCGCGCAGTTCCCAACCGGATAAAAAAAAAAAAAAATCCGCCTGTTGATGGAACTGTATTAAGAGGCGTGGGGTGCGGCCTCACCGGCAAACACCGCCGAGAACACACTCCCTCACCAAAGAAGGATTGGCCACCCTGGTGCAGTATCTGGCCACTACCTCCCACATGCTTACGTCAAATAGCTCATGGCCCTCAGTCCCCAGCAGCTGCGAAGCAACTGACCACGACGGCGGTAAGATCTGCAACGCAGCAGAGGGTGCTAAGAATCTCTGGATCCGAACAGGCCGCCATTGGAACCTGAACTTGGCAACATTTAACGCTAGAACCTTATCTAGTGAGGGAAGTCTAGCTGTACTATTCGAGGAGCTAGAGGGTGTTAAATGGGATATAATAGGGCTCAGTGAGGTTAGGAGGACAGATGAGGCCTATACGGTGCTACAGAATGGGCACATCCTTTGCTATCGGGGCTTGACAGACAGAAGAGAACTGGGAGTGGGGTTCCTAATTCACAGAAACATAGCTGGCAACATAGAGGAATACTATAGCATTAATGAAAGGGTGGTAGGTATCGTAATTAAACTGAATAAAAGATACAAGATGAAGGTAGTACAGGCTTACGCGCCTAAATCCAGCCATGATGACGCTTCACTTGAAAGCTTCTATGAAGACGTGGAATCGGCAATGAGTAAGGTAAAAACACAGTATACTATAGTGATGTGCGACTTTAATGCAAAGGTAGGGAAGAAGCAGGCTGGAGACCAGGCAGTAGGAGATTATGGCATCGGTACTAGAAACGCCAGAGGAGAGCTACTAGTAGAATTCGCAGAACACAATAATTTACGGATTTTGAATACCTTCTACCGAAAACAAGAAAACCGCAAGTGGACATGGAGGAGCCCTAATGGCGAAAATAAGAACGAAATAGACTTTGTAATGAGTGCACACCCTGGAATCGTGCAGGATGTGGAAGTGATTGGCAAGGTACGATGCAGTGACCATAGAATGGTACGGTCTCCAATTCGCCTAGACTTGAAGAAGGAACGACAGAAACTGATACGCAAGAAGCCAATCAATCAGCTAGCACTGAGAGGAAAAGTACAGGAATTCAGAGTGTCGCTGCAGAACAGGTACTCGGCTCTTAGTGAGGAAACCAACCTTAGCGTAGATACAATGAATGATAATCTGACGAGTATCATTACGGAGTGTCCAGTGGAAGTTGGAGGCAGGGTAGTTAGACAGGACACTGGCAAGCTTTCCCAGGAAACGAAGAACCTAATTAAGAAGCGTCAAATCATGAAAGTGTCAAGTACAACAGACAAAATAGAACTGGCAGAGCTTTCGAAGTTGATTAATAGATGTAAGGCATGCGATGTAAGAAGGTATAACATGGAGAGAATTGAACACGCTCTGAAAAACGGAGGAAGTGTCAAAGCATTGAAGAGGAAACTTGGGATAGGCAAAATTCGGATGTATGCACTAAGGGACAAAGAAGGCAAAATAACTACCAATAGTGATAGGATAGTTAAAATAGCGGAGGAGTTTTACAGAGATCTGTACAGTAGCCGAGACAACCACGACCTTAATACTATAAGAACTAGCAGTAACCCAGATTACACCCCACCAGTAATGATAGAAGAAGTCAGAAAAGCTTTGGAGAGCATGCAAAGGGGCCAAGCTGCTGGTGAGGATCAGGTAACATCAGATCTGCTGAAAGATGGAGGACAGATTGTGTTAGAAAAACTAGCCACCCTGTTTACGAGGTGTCTCCTGATGGGAAGAGTACCAGAGTCTTGGAAGAACGCTAACATCATCTTAATACATAAGAAAGGAGATGACAAGGACTTGAAGAATTACAGGCCGATCAGCTTGCTCTCTGTAGTATACAAGCTATTTACAAAGGTAATTGCTAACAGAGTAAAGAAAACATGAGAATTCAATCAACCAAAGGAACAAGCAGGATTTCGAACAGGCTACTCAACAATTGACCACATTCATACTATCAATCAGGTAATAGAGAAATGCTCACAATATAACCAACCGCTATACATAGCCTTCATAGATTACGAGAAGGCGTTTGATTCAGTAGAAATATCAGCCGTCATGCAAACGCTGCGGAATCAGGGCGTAGATGAAGTATATATAAACATTCTGGAAGAAATCTACAGGGGATCAACTGCTACCATAGTGCTTCATAAAGGAAGCAACAGAATACCAATCAAGAAGGGTGTAAGGCAGGGGGACACAATTTCCCCAATGCTATTTACCGCGTGCTTACAGGAGGTTTTCAGAAGCCTAGAATGGGAACAGTTAGGGATAAGAGTCAATGGAGAATACCTTAGTAACCTGCGCTTCGCCGATGACATTGCATTGCTGAGTAACTCGGGGGACGAATTGCAACTCATTATTACAGAGTTAGACAAGGAGAGCAGAAAGGTGGGTCTTAAAATTAATCTGCAGAAAACGAAAGTAATGTACAACAACCTCGGCAAGGAGCAGCGCTTCGAGATAGGTAATAGTGCATTTGAAGTTGTAAAAGACTGTCTACTTAGGGCAGGTAATAACCGCAGAGCCGAACCACGAGATTGAAGTAACTAGAAGAATAAGAATGGGGTGGAGCACATTCGGCAAGCACTCTCAAATTATGACAGGTAGATTGCCACTATCCCTCAAAAGGAAGGTATATAACAGCTGTATCTTGCCGGTACTTAGCTACGGAGCAGAAACCTGGAGACTTACAAAGAGGGTTCAGCTTAAATTGAGGACGACGCAGCGAGCAATAGAAAGAAAAATGGTAGGTGTAACGTTAAGAGACAAGAAGAGAGCAGAGTGGATTAGGGAACAAACGGGGGTTAAGGATATCATAGCTGAAATCAAGAAGAAGAAATGGACATGGGCAGGGCATGTAGCGCATAGACACGATAAGCGCTGGTCATTAAGGGTAACTGACTGGATTCCCAGAGAAGGGAAGCGGGTTAGGGGGAGACAGAAGGTTAGGTGGGCAGATGAGATTAAGAAGTTTGCGGGTATAAATTGGCAGCAACAAGCGCAGGGCCGGGTTAACTGGCGGGACATGGGAGAGGCCTTTGTCCTGCAGTGGACGTAGTCAGGCTGATGATGATTATGATGATGAATGTGGAGTGAAAAACTAAAACATGTCACATAATCGAGCATAGCACCCTGCATAAAAAAACAAACACTGAAAGCACTAAAAAATGCAAGCACTGACTCACAGTGCTGCTAGAAAGAACATTGAAAACAGAATAAATAAACATATACTATTGGCCCTGGCTTCTCGGTCTGAGTTAATGTTAGCTTGATCCAAAAATGGCACCATGAGGTGTAAAAAGCCGAAGAAGAGCGCACTGTTGTAGTGGCCACAAATCTTGGCTGGGAACCACCACCAATAACTTGCGAAGTAAGATTAGTGTTTTGGCACAATCCCTCAAAGAAAAAAAAATTAACAATAACAGCACAGTGATTACTATCAAATGAGTGTTAATAGCGAGTGTTGATCGTAGTGGCTTCTCTGTCACTTGTAATTGTGCAAAAAAGTGGTCCCTACATGACAAAATTCTCTGTAACTGCTTCCCAACAGGACAAGCTTTCTTTGCATACCTGCATGGCAGAAACTCTTGCGATATGAAATACTCCCTACAATCCTACATTTATCTCCTGCATCTATTCCCCGTTTCTCAAGTGAGTGATGATTGTGCTCTTTCCTACGTGCCTTTTCCAAGATCCCTCAGCATGACGTGTGTGGTGTGAAAAGATTGATTCGCACAGGAAATTGATATGAACCCTGCAATTGATGTCAAGAGATTTAATGCACTGCTATTACATTAAGACTTGTGGTTATTGGAACACATTTTTCAATGAGTGTCCTCCCTTATTAAATTGTACTTTTTGGCTAGTTAGTTTATCCTGACCTATAGTAGAGCACAACAGGAGAAACAACAAACATTGAAAATAAAAAGAATACAAGCACTATGTTGTCTTTGTGTTCGTCTCTCCGTCCACTATGCGCTACCACATGGCGTAACAATTTGCCCCGATTAGTCAGAAAGCTGTGAAGCATCACGGACACGCCTGAAGATTCCGTAATGATAATCTTATTAGGACATATAGTACACATGCAAAGATGATGGCTTGCTAGCCAGAATAATTGTTCCGTGTCTGCTCAAGCTTCCACACAAAATACCCCGAATTGACTAAGCAAAGGTGTGTTACCTCATCAGTACAAATATATATTTTCATACAGCTTATTACAAACTGAATAACAGATTGATTAATGAGCGTGACAGCAGTGAAGCATAACAAAAATAATAATGTGAGACTTTACGGCATGCATTACATTGCTCTGCTCACAATGTTGCAGCCAGTGTATCGCGACAAGGTACAGTTCTCACAAGACCCACTGTAACTCAGCACTGCCTCGTTTCTCTGAAACAATCTACCAAGCGTGGCACTTAAATAGCTTCAAAAACAGCACCTTCGTTGATATCATTGCTTACAATCATGTTGATTGAGATTACTTGTAAAGTGGACAGCTTCCACAAAGACCTCAGTGCATGATGGTGATTGACATGGTGTTATTAATGGTGTCATTAAATGTAAGAGCATAATGACTTACATCAACAAGCGAACACTAACAGTACTTGAAAAATGCCAGCAGTAACTCACAATACTCTTAGGAAGAATGAAGGTAACAGATTGAAAGACATATGATTGCCCCTCCTTATTCTGTCTAAGATAAAGAGAGCTTAAAGAGAGCTACATTGGGCAAGCAGAGTTTTGGAGAAGTTGACAAAAAGTGCACACACGAAGCGACCACAAATCTTTGCTGGCACAGCCTTGGAAACATTCGTTGATCACTTGAAATGTAAGCTGAGTGTTATGGCAGAACCGCTCAAGAGACAGGACAGTGAACACTTGGTGGCACAGTGCTGACCAAGAAATAAGTGTCCACAGTAAGTGCGATGACGGTACCGTCTTCACTGTCACTTCATATTGTGCAAAGAAGTGGTCACAAGATGACACATCATTCCCCTGAAAACCTCACCCAACATGTTGTGCCTTGCATCAACACCTGCATGGCAGAGTTCCACTCCCTGCAATGCCAGCACTCTGTTCTACATTTATTTCCCAGATGCTTAAGCGAGTGATGATAGTGCTCTTTCTTGCACTCGTTTTTCAACATTCCTCAGCACTAAAAGTGTGGGATGCGACTCGATTGATTTGCACACGGACTTTATATGAACCACGATATTGATGTCAAGAGATTGCTTGCACTGTTGACATAGTAGTTACTGCAATCACACTTATTTTCCCTGATCACATTGTACTTGTGGGCATGTAGGTTGATAAATACGGCATAAAGAAGCACACAACGGGAGGAACAAGAAACACAAAAACAAAAAGACAATACAATAATTCAGTTGTGCTTAAGTTTTTGTGTTTATTTTGTTTCACCCACTGAATGCTTCCATATGCTGTAGCAACTGTCCCTGATTGTTTAAAATGCCGTGAAGCATCACGATCACATATGTGGATATTCAAATGATAACAATAATTATTACATAATGTACAAGCACACAGATGATGACCTGTTAAGTGCTTTGTTTCGTGTCTGTTTATGCTTGTTCAAGATTTCTTTCTTTATTAATTTATTGAGAACAATTACAAAATTGTGCAAGGAGGCACGGGAAAAGGCAGACATTGCCTGACTGGCCCGTGCCACTCATACAGCAGTAGCCAGAGAAAGAAATTCACAAATATAGAAGGGTACATGGAAATCAAATACTGCACCTCTGATCAATATTACACAGTCATATAGCAAAAAAGAGAAGAAAACATAAGTACAATTTAAAAAAATGTACGCACTACTCTCGAGCAGAAAAAGAAAATCGCATTATACTCATCTAAACACACATACAAAAAAATTTTAGAACAACTTGTAGGGCTCGCAATCCACATGTGGGCAGAGAAAAAGAAAAATGGACAATGTATAACATTCATACAGAACCATAGTATATTTTTATTTGCATCAGTCTTCTCAAAATAAGAATTCTTTGATTGTTTTTTGATATGCTTGCTTTCGCATTCTGGATTTGAGATCTATAGTAAAGGTATAGTCATTGAGGAGGTTAGGAATTCGAACCACAAAAAATCTTAAATTGACAAAGCAGAAGTGCTGTGGCATATCAGTACAAAAAAATTTTTTCCTAGAGCTTAGTACAAACTGGTGAACTTAGTACTAAACTGGTTAATGAACAACTCAGTAATAGAGCACAATAAAAATATTCATGTGAGACTTTACTTCATGAATAACTATGCTTTGCTCCGAATAATGAAGCCAAGGTATCGTAACTAAAGCTCACAGCTTTAAAAGGCCTACATAAATCTGCACTGCCACAATTCTTTGAAATAATCCGTGAAGTGAGCCTTCAATCGAACTTTCACCGATATGATCACTCACATTCAGGCCGATCGAGGTGTCTTCTTAAGTGGACACTCTGCACGAACGTCTCAGCGCACGAAGGTTACAGATGCGAATGCTTGGTTGTATGCATTTTGCGGTGGGTGTACAGTGAGGACTGTTGTACAAAGGTCTTGAGGCATACGTGGCATTGATACGCACGCTCGCCCGTATGAATGCGCACGTGTTGAGATAGAGTTTTCTTTGTACGGAAGCTCTTGAGGCATTTGGTGCATTGATATGGCCGTTCACCCGTGTGTGTGCGCACGTGATCTTCAAGATGGTGGCTTCGTAAAAATCTCTGGGGGCACAAGTGACATTCATGCGGTCGCTCTCCTGTGTGACGCATGGTATGTGTTTTGAAATGGCTCAAATGCAGTGTCTTATAGTCACACTGTTCACAACACAAAAAACTTCTTTGGCGAGGTCGCTCAACATCTGCAGTTGGTGGACTGTTGAAAGAGCACAAATCTGCACAAAGAAAACAAATAGGTTTGTGAAAAGCTGCATATTTTTGAAACAAAAAATGTTTTTGTGGCATTTCACTCGAGAACTACACTCTATATCTATAAGGATTGCTGAGTGTGGGCATCAATATTTTTTCGTGACCACCTTCAGTTCGTTGACGTGAGCTTAGTTCCAACAAACAAGTGTTTCCGCACTAAATTTCACAGAAACGCGGCCTTTGTAGCCTTGATTATCAAGTGCCAAAAACAACAATGAAAAGAGATTAATGCTAATTGACAGATTTATGTGATGAAACCTGGAAAGGAAATTCGAAAAGCGTACTACAAAGCATATTATTTCAAATATATTCATATTCATTCTTTTACAAAAAAACACTATTGAACATAATCCCTGTTCGGCCACAGCTTCTTCAAATTTTTGATATCTTTCTCTGCATATAAGCATGCCCCTAAAATCATAATTAACGAAATTGCATGCTAATCTACACATCACACAGCAAAACAATAGAATCATCACTTGCAATTTATTTATAGCTAATGCTGAAAAAGGACAAAGATGTCTGTAATAAAGGGCATCAAATACATCCAAATGAAGAAAACGAGGAAGGATAAATTCTAGTACTATCTAGCAGAATCTAATAATATTTCACAGCAAGACTTGTAATTCATAAAACTGAACTCTTCTTTTCAAAAATATGTAGATAACAATGACGCATCGCGTGAATATACGGAAACATTATGTGAACAAATACGTGAGCATTACAGAAAACATTGAATAATTAAGAAAGCAAGCCGCAGAAAGAATTGGTTGCAAAAATGCAACGTGCTTAGAAGATACGGCACTCAACAAAATCATCTAAGGTATTAAAACAATGCAGACAACATGTGTCCATATAAGAACGTTTTCCATTGAAGATTGACCTCCCAATCTCCTGATGGCTAGAGAGAAAGAGAGAGGAATAAAAATTACCAAATGTAAAAGTAAGCACAAGCAAACTCGCAAAGGACATAAAAATTGCTGCTGAATAAAATACCACAATTCATTGAGCAAGTTTTGAGCTAGCAATGTAATCCCCGTCAAGTTTTGCTACAACGATGATCATTTCTTTGCAGAGCCTTTAGTACAGAAGCCTCAGTTAGACGATTCATATCTAGAGCGCACTGCGGGCCTCAATGTTAAGCTCCTGCGGTAGCATCTACATTTTTCTGAGTCTGAGCCATGTCTCTACGATGCATTTTGCTCTTTTATGCAACTAAGACTGTCGATAACCTTAAAACGAAGGATTGACGCACTGGTGAAGTTTTTCACAGCAAACAGCGAATCAAAATTTCATCCTTGTTGCCACTGTAATAGTTGACAGGAAACAGTCAGAGGAAAATGAACCGTTCACCTAAATAAGCCTATATAATAAAAAGAAACATGAACGAAACTGAATTCCTGAAAAGATATATCCATTCTTGGAAAAAATTGCCACGCCTTTGTGGAATGCACAGCACTGTCACAGTGAAAGCTGGAAGAGCACTTTTTCAGAGCCTCTTTTTGACACTTTTTAGGTAAATGCTGCAAGTACACTCACAGGGTACCCACCATGCCATTAATAATTGTATAGTAGGCAGGCATTCACAATGCATCCTTTGTCATTCTTCGAGAAGAGTGGTACTACCCACTGCACACCTGCAAGAAAGTTTGCGCAATTTTTTCGTGCTGTAGCTGGCGACGGTGAAAAATTGTGCCAGAAGCTTTTGTAATCCCAACAAGGGGTATGCGCTATAGTTAATAAGTAAACAAGATGAAGCATTTGTAAACAGTCGAAGCATTCGACGACCCACTTGTAGCACAATTTGCATTATGTGACACCTGGTCGTTCCTTTGCTGCTCTTTGTGCACTGCCTGTTGAGCGGCTGTTTAGACTGGCCAAGATGGGTCTGTCGTCCACAATGTGTATCAGCTTCCACAGATATGTCCCTTTAGATAGGGCAGTTGCATCAGCATAACATTATTTGCAACTGAAAATTTTATTTCGAAGTGGCCACTAATAAATACATCACACGTATGTATGTCATATACATAATATATTTATTAGTGTTCGCTTCGTAATAAAATTTTCAGTTGCTAGTAAGTGCTTGTCTGTGTCCTCTCCGAGTGTGTGTATATTTAGCGCTTGTTTCATCATGAACCTTTACCAACACGCCCAACTGGCAGTCATCCTGAACATTATCTGGAGGTGCATCAAGTGCTCCACAACATAGTCGTGCCTGGGCAGATGAACATATCACCTGTAATTTGAGAAAGATTGGATCAGGCCTCTTCAAGGAGAGTCTTGACAGGTTACGGTTCTAGGATCAGCCGATAGAATCTTTTAGTCCCCTGTGGGAGCATGCACGGTGCATGTAAGAGTTCTACTATATGTCCGACGAAATGAACGAGCCATTATTTACCAGGTCATTAACAAGACAAATATTAAGTGACCCTTACATGATGTCATGGATGTAAAATGAGTAATTAATTAAATTAGCAAATTCTCCTATGTGGACTAGAAAACACAAACAACATTTAAAAAATGCAAACACTTCTTCACAATGCTGGGAGGAGGAATAATAGCCTCTCGTTTCACTGTCAAACATAATGAACGCTACATTGGGCAGGCAGAGGTACAGAGAGGTCAACAAAGAGTGCACACATGAAGTGACCACAAATGTTCACTTGCAGAGCATCCGGAACTACCACAGATTACTTGTGAAGTAGGCCGAGTGTAATGGCACCACAGCTCAAGAAATGGGACAGTGGAAGAGTGCTGACACTAATGGGGTACTGACACCTTTTTTTGTCTGAGGCGAACTTACTCTGCCATACAATTCTCCTATATAAAAAGAGGACTCTGAGCAAGTTCGATGCACAGCAAATGTTTATAAGATATTTTATTTTGATGTTAAAGTCACGTTTCTTACAGCGCACCTACTGAGATAAACACTAACTTGTCGTCAGGCTACAGTAGTAATACTGGTGACTTCACGCAGCAGTCCGGCAAGTTGTTATGACGTCAAGCACCAAAACACAAAAAATAAAAAGTTGCGTGTTGCCCTTTCGATCGTCCGCTCGTGCTTTTCGGTTGTGCGGTAACTGTCATCCAACATACCTGCGACACGAGCTAGCGAAGTCTGAAATAGCGTGCGTGCACACAAATACAAGATTACGCTTTTCAGAAGGCAAATGAATTGTTTGATTTTGAATTGGTCGTCATGGCACCAGTGTTTTGCGCCGTGTATGGTCTTGCGCCAGTGAAACGGAGCACAACAGGAGCTTTAAATTTAGCTTGTACGTATACTTCAGCGATGACCGACGATTCGTGCCTAATACGTTTTTGTATTTATTCTTTCATTTTAAATGTTTGACGAAAACGATCTCTTCACATGCTTGAATACCTTAGTCATCATCATTAGGCCCCCCAAAACTGAATGCGGAACTTCAAGGCACCCAAAAATGCCATTATTATTATTATTATTATTATTATTATTATTATTATCATTATTATAATAACTTGAAGAGAAATTGCAAGGCTTCTCTAATTATGGTGAACAGCCACAGTCACACACAATCTCAGCACCGCCTTAGAACAAGAAAAAAAATTATGACATAGAGTAAATGAATCAAACCATAACTACATTCATTCCTAAAATGCAGCTGCAGTTAGGTTAAAACACTAGGGCAAGAAGTAAGCAAACTTTCCAAAATCATACAAAAATGAAAAAAAGAAACAACAATCTACAAAAGCTACTCACTCAAGATCTAAAGTTGAATTAACTGAGCTAAAAGGGATGATTAACAAAAAAAACAATGCCAACATGGGAATTTATAGCACCAAAGAATTAGATGAAGAATTCAAACTAAGGACAGAGCCTGACAACAGAAAACTAATTACAAATGCACCTTACCTAACCTAACCTAACCTAACAGATAGAGTAACATAATCAGCAGTCTCAACATCTATAGTAAGGTGGCAGAAGACTTTTACTACAGCTCACGAATAAGCCACCTACCTGAGAAAGAAGCCAAAGTTTAACAAAAAACCTAAACTCCATGAGTAAATATTAGCAAAGTTAGAAAGAAACATAATATCAGAAGCCTAACCAGAAACGAATCTCCTTGGATACCCTGCCCTGAGAGAATGGAATAGAGCCCTACAAAACATGACCAATAAAAAGTCATGCAGCGAAATTGTTGACTTGATCAAAGATGGAGATCTCGTGTTTAACAAGCTTGTGACGCTTTCTGCACAATGCCTCAGGTACTGGCGAATCAAATGTACAACCAAACTGTAGAAATGCCAATACCAAACAAATACAAAAAAAAAGATGAAAGATTTAAAGAATTATACACAGATAAACAGATGTCGCACTGTGGATCATAGTCATGCGCTGTCAAACTGAAAACTCTGCGAAATGGAACACATCCATTTATTTACTTAGCTTGCAGAGACTAATAAAAGGCATTCGACTCAGTAAAGATACCAGCAGTCTTACAGTAGCTAGTGCATAATGCATGCATGAATACCCTGGCCAACATCTACAGAGAGTCCAGAGTAGACAGACAGACAGACAGACAATAAACTTTATTAAGGTCTTCAGAGGTGACTAGAAAAGTCCCTTTATGGAGGAGGAGCTGTCGCAGAGCAGAAAAATTTTATTCGTGAAGTGCATCTGGCAAGGAGACGAAATTCGAGCAATATTTACAGCATGCTTAGCAGAAGGATTTGAGCCACCATGTTACATTTACAAAGAATATCTCGGTACTTACGCTTTGCAAATGACATTTTGCTTTTCAGCAGTGGTGCCGTTAAACTACACTGAAATGAGGGTCTAAACCGAAAAAGTGTTCAAGTAGGGTTACAGATAAATAAGTAAAAGACAAGGATCTAATATTTCGAGGCCAAACAAGAGAGCGAGAGTCCGCAACAGCACAATAGAATCTTTACAATATATATGTATTCAAGACAGATATTCACAGGACACACTACTCATGAAAAGGAAATTCACCAAACAATATGCACGGGCTAAAGCTTTAATTGCAGACATTCCCAAATCCTAAAAGGCAATTGACAACTGTCCCTAAAGCAGAAAGTGGACTACTATTGTATGCTGCAAGTACTAACATATGGTGCAGAAACTTGAATGATAGTAAAAAAAAGAAGAAGAAAAAAGTCCAGAACAGACCAAGAACTATGCAAAATAGAAACAGAAAATGATTAGCATAACATAGAGATATTGAAAAAGCAGAGCTCGATAGAGCACAAACAGGGCTAGATGACATTCTAGCTGACATTAAGAAAAAAAAAAAGGTGGACCTGGGCAGGTCAAGCAATGTGAGGGAAAGACAAGTGACCAGTTAGAGAGATTCTGTAGCTATGAAAAGATGGAAAAAATAGCTGAGAAAGGTAGAAGGCTAGATGGGATTTGCACGCATAAGATCGAATAAGCTTGCACAGGGTTGGGAAAATTGTAGGTAACTGGGGGAAGCCTTTGTATAGCATTGGACATAAAAAAAGGCTGATATACAAGTAGAGCATGTGTTATCGAGATGTTGCACATCGCAGGTTAGTTTCAATACCAACAGGTTATTCAACTCACATTGCAGTGCTACTGCTTAAGTATTGTAGTTGTACTACCAACTGCTTTTCGACGTTTCTAGCAACGTTGAAAGATGTCTGGAACATTTATCAGAACCATGTACAGCCATGTCCCCAACTCTGTACAGTGCATTTGCAGCCAGGCTTAATGATCCATGGCACCTTGCGGAAGTTGTGGGCTCCAACGTGACGTTTCTAGGAGCACGCGTGACCTAATGAACATGCAGGGCTGCTTTGCGCAAGTGTGACCATGTTAAAAGGTGTGCCTGTTTAATCGTAGATGCATGGTGCCTCTGGGCGCTTTCAGCATGTAAATTCTGAGAGATGACGAGTTTTGACAAATAACACATGCCTGATTAGGCACTTTTTATTTTGCCTGGTCAAGTACGATACAGTTGGCATTGCTAAACTTCTTTAGCACCAACCACTAAAGCACATTGCATGAAGGAGGTAAAAAAATAAGCACACCTGCCACCACAATTTGAATTTTAAAATTTTACATATTTGATAACACAACCAAATGGAGGCATGACTTCCCCGAAAGGCCATGTTCAACAAGAAGTGAGTGCTCTTTGTGGAGAAGTCCCACCTTCATGTTACGAAAGTATGTGAAATCATAATTTGTGCCAGTAGGTGTGCTTTCTTTACCTGCTTCGTGCACTTTTCTTCAGTTTGGACCTGGAGTGGCTGGCACAGAAGAAGTTTCGCAATGCCAAGCCTTCAGCAGCCCACATCACTGAGGCAAACTGGAAACTGAAGATGAGGCATGCCTGCTGTTTCCTACTGAAGAAGCCTGTTCGCACGACCTGGGAAGGCCTCACTGGGCTGGGAAATGTTTTATGTTCACATTGCAGAAAGTGTACGTACGCTATGTACTCAACAAAGGCCCAAAATTTCGCCACAAACCTATGTTGCTGGCTCACTAATTACTGGCATTGTACCGATGAGTTGCGGAAAGAGTCAATGTCACAGTTAGGGACTATTGCTTACAAGACATTGTCTAAGCTCTAGCAAGAACAGGGGAAAAACCCTCTTCGTCAGGAGGATATGTTGGTGGGTGTTGTCATTCTTCAAGTGCAACAATTTGTGGCCATTTCAAGTGGATAAAAGTAGTGGCTGCGTAGTAATGAATGTAGATTTGTGTATATTCAAGGCAAGACAAGCAGTCTACATGAACTTCGTCAAGTTAAAAGTAATCAAAACAAGAGCTTTGAAAAGCAAGGCAGTGGCTCTGAGTAAGGACTTGGAACTTGCACAACTAGCAGAGTCTATTGCATACTGCAGCTAGCAAAAAAAACACCCTTTCTGTGTTATTTATGGTCAAGACGCATAAGCCGGGTGTTTCGTTCAGGACAATTGTGAGTGATTGAGGTATCTGGCAGAACATGATTAGTCAGTTTTTAATGAAGCGGCTAGACTCGGTTGTCATGAGATACGCATTTCTGGAAATTTCCCATGCATCATCCACTTTCTTTAAAGAATCCTTCGATAGGTAATTGTTCTTGATAGATGTTGAGGACCTATTTTATTCTGTCCTGCATGGTGAATTGTTTTTCTACATAAGAAGTTGCACAAACAAGAGTGGTGTGGTTGCCTTCAGGAATGTTGTGGGCATGGCAGTATAAGCTTTTATGGCCCTTCTCAAGTTTTATGTTAAAGGTAGCTCGTATGTTGCTCCTGTGTTGTGGAATTTTTTAAGTTTGACCGTAATTGCTGTTATTACGTTCCACCATTTTAATTAGTGGGAGGTTCTGGAAGTTCTTACGTACGATGATAATTTTATTTTTATTTTAAAGCAACTAACCACCGTCAAATATTAGCCCATTGTTAACAATGTTCTAGCAGGTTTTCGCAGACTGAAAAAGGAGTGGTGTTTACACATGATTTGAAGGCTTGTGTATTTTTGCAGTTTTTGGCTTAGGGCATTGCCTTGCAGAGTCGTCACAGCTGTTGGCTTTTTTGTCTAGGTGTGCTGAAAAATGGCTTCTATATGAGTTAACGCATTCCAAAACTGTGAATGGGCCATAGCTGAACAATGCCCACAGTATGCATGTGCAGGGTCGTGCTCACACGTTATGCAGAAGACTTTTCAGAATTGATTGGACAGGTTGTCTGTGGTTGGTTTCCTTCGCATGCTCCTTAACGCTGTAGTTGAGTTGCTCCACCAGACTATCACATGAGAACACCACGGTATTGGGGTAGAGCAAGAGTGCAGAACAGCGAGACCTGAAGTTATACCGGGTATGCACCGAGCTGCACACGACCTAAAAATGGTAGCAAACAGAGATGGTATGCCACTTCTTTTTTCTGCGCCACGAAAATCATCTCAGCTTTCTCATGTATACTATATGATGGAAGCAACAAAGGCACGCCAATCATGCACAAAATGTGCCAACGTAGTCGTTTATGAATTTGCACTATCCTACGGCAAAAGATGAATGTTGGCCGGGCACGAATATGCGTGAATGAGCATGCACAGGAACGTGAGCTATCATTAAAAGATAAAGATGGGGCACATTTGCTGACACGTTGCGATTCTCATAAGTGTGAGCCGTACCTGGACAAGGTTTGGAATATTGGCAGAAGCATGGACACAACTACTCGAAAATGCATGGATGCATCCTGTATAAAATCACGAGGTTCATTAGGTATCAGTGATACTTTGTCTTTCTGGTAGGTAGAGAACACGTTCACAGATTGCGAGTAGTTAGTATGCTCTCAATGTGAGCCTAGCTTACTCCACACATGTGTGCCTATAATTTTCGATGCAGGATATGATGAATAAACTATGGAAACATTGAGCTCCCCTAGACCCCTTTTCTTATTATACTGTCATTAAAAACAGCCATATCTTCGTGGCTTCCACAAGAATGTGGACCGATTAGAATAGCAAAGAGTACTTCTAGCCTAACCTTTGTGTCTTGAAAATCTGTAGGGGCAAATTTGACATAAAAGAGGGACACTGTGCCTGGGTGATGCAGACCAGGGAGACATGAGGCTATGACAAGTTATCGATATGTAATGATGAGGAGAATGAATGCAGTGATTGTGCGAGCATTTCAAGCTAGAAAAAGGCTAGGAGTGATCAGTGCCTTCTGTAGCATAAGCCATGAAATAACAAAAGCAACCATCGTCACCTCTGCCACCATCTGGAACGTAAGCACTACCAAAGGCTGCATTCATTGTTCTTCTGCACAGGCTTACGGCATGCGGCTCCACAAAAGTGAAGCGAGGGCACATAAATGCTTCAATGTGGGTGCATACTCAAATCTGTTGCAGCAAAATTATTAAAAAAATCACTGCTTTTTTACCTAGTCGTTTCAAAAAAACTTTAAATCGGTCTGAAGACAACGTTACATTCTATAGATTTTTGCTGGTGAATGGTAATTCTTCGTTAGATTAGAAAATTCGTAAGATCGTTTTGCTAGGTAGAGTTTTATTAGTATTTATTAGTAAAAATTACAAATTGGGGAGCCATGAAAATTTTGTAAACTGGGGGTGGGTGCTGGAGACGACACTTTGACAAGTGGACTTGTCCTTTATAAGGCTCAACAAAATCTCGAGAAATTTCGTTCAATACAAGAACCACATTACTTTATCATTGTGCCTATCCCATGGAATGAAGTTCTTTTTTATGATATAAAGGAGCCGAGAAATGTAACTTGATGCTATTTATTAATGCACACACGTACCAACAAAGACCAAAAGCTTGTATCGTGGACTGACTACTAAACGGGGACAAATGTGCTAATCTGATAGTGAAGTAAAACTCACATCCTTTTGATTAAAAAAATAACATGCAGGAAAACTGGTAATAAGACCCAAAATGACAGTGTACTTCTTAAAGAATGAAAAGTCCTTCAATTTTCCGTGTAATACTTGATTTATCAAGACCAAACACATACATGTGCTTGAACGTATTGTAAAACGGGGCAGGACTACACGGACACTAGAGAAGGGACAGATCGCTCTTGTGCCCGCATAGTCGTGCGCTGTGTTGAAATATGTTAATCACCAACTGGTCCAGCTTTCAGTCCTTCTGTGTACATGTGCTTATTAGCGGACGTCCCATTATTACAGACCTAGCTACCTACTACGATGCACCTTTTCTGCATAATTTTGATAGAATACTTTGTATATGTAGTAAACTATTTTTCTTGCATGTTCGTCTACTGACGCAACCAGCAGCCAAGAAGCTAGAGACCACAAGAACGCACAGAAAGGGTTTGAGCATTCGCACGTGCGATCATACCGCTGTCACACGGGCACTTTTGATTGCAATCAGCTAGGGCGTCTGCGCCAAACTCGATCCGGGCCAGCAGCGACAGACCAGTCGATCTCGATCAAAAGTATTCGAGTGACACCAGTATTAGTCACCTCTAACTGCCCGAACTAATCGGATCAAATACGGTGCAGCCGTCATCTAACTGCGGTATAAAAGGGTACGACGCAGCAAACAAGAACCCGTGTGACAGTGGGGTTGTCAGTACAGTGCGTCAGACCCTAAATCTCATACGGAAGTATGTCTGCACAAACATGATCACGCCTACGCGGGAGTAATTCACCGCTACGGCTCGCATGAGCCAGCCAACAATAACGTGTCATCAAAAGTGCAGGGAACTAAATTTGTCAAACAAAACACCGCACAGAACACACAAGACAGCCAGCACATGACCATATCACATCGACGCGGGATGTTGGTCATTCAACGCTACCGCTTGCACGAAACACCCACGGCGCTTGATCTCCCCCCTTTGAAGGATCGGTCAGCCGAGAATCACTGCCACAGAACTATATTGACAAAGAATATTACCGCAATCCATACACACCGCCGCACACCACCAAAATTAACCTTGACCAACGCCTCCTCTAGAAAGATGCCTGAGGAATGGCTCGCGCTCCCAGCGGAGCTGGCCTGCCTTGTTTTAAACAAGCTCCACGCGGTGGCGATCGCGACCGACACTACAGGAAAGGAATATGGAAAAGGGTCATGGTTCCTGGGCTGACGTTCGGCAATGCGGTCTTGCGCATGAGATCAGAACTTCAAGCAAGTTTAGAAATTAAGCAACGAGGAATAGGTAGGCTTGCTTTAGGAGCTGACAGGAATACACCAAATAGAGAGTAGAAGCTGGCTGGCTGGATGGATGGATATGGCTGTACCCTTTAGATCGGGCGGTGGCTAGCGCCATTAAGCCGTAATACTTAATGAATCAAAAATTATATTTATTTTTTTTCTTAAAAAGTGATTTTGGAATTCGTACTTCGCAGTGCTGATTTTTCCTTACTGAATCTAAAATCTAACCTATCTTCCTCATTACCGCAGATGTCCATCAATCTCTGCAAATCTTCCTTGTTGTTGGCCATTAGCACTATATCATCAGCGTACAATAATGCTGGTGTGTCTGATAAATAGGTTTTCCTTGATTGACTAAAGAGAGGTTGAAGCCAAGTCCACTTCTCTTTAATTTTGCCTCTAATACTTGTAGGTACATCATGAATAATAAGGGTGACAGTGGACACCCCTGCCTAAGTCCCCGTTTCACCTCTGTGGGTTGGATACTTGTTTTTCCCACTTTATAACTACCTTGTTACTTTTATAGATTTCCTTTAAAAGAGTAGTGACTCCATCTTCCACACCCAGTGTGTCCACTATTCCCCGCATGTCCTCTTGAACCACACTATCGTACGCTCCTTTGATGTCCAAAAATGCTAGCCACAGGGGCCTGAGTTCTTTTTCTGCAATTTCGATGCACTGCGTCAGTGAGAACAGATCGTCTTCCAACCTGCTGTGTTTCCGTAACTCATTCTGCAGTTCCCCCAGCACCCCCTCAGCCTCTATCCATACCTGCAGTCTTTCCTTTATAATCTGCATCACCAGCCTGTAGACCACTGATGTCACTGTTATAGGACGATAGTTGTTTATGTCATCTTTGTCCCCCTTTCCTTTATATATCATGCTCATTCTGCTAAGTTTCCATCCAGCAGGGACTTCACCATTGATTATTGTTCTGCACACTGCCTCTCTCAAAGTCTGTTTAGACTTCGGACCCAATGTCTTTATCAGCATAATTGGAATGCCATCTGGGCCTGTTGATGTACTACTTGGAACCCTCTTCTGAGCCCTTTCCCACTCTCGTTGTGATAATAAAGCCATTGTGCCACTTGATCCATCCCTGTCAATTGTGGTGCATAAGGCACTTGCTTGTTGAAATTTTTCTGTCACCCTTGTTCTTATATATTCAATAGCTTCGTCCCCTTCTAGCCTAGCACGTTGAGCTGTAGTTATAAACCTCTGCTCTGGGTTTGTTTCATTTCTTAGGGAGTTTAGATGGTTCGTAAATTTCGCAGCTGCCTTTCTGTCCTTTTTATGTACTTCTGCCAGCCACTGAGCACCCTTTATTCTAATCTTTTCATTGATCAGGAGGGATGCTTCCCTTCTAGATCTTAGAAAGATTTCCCATTTTATTTCAACATCATCTCTCGGTTCACCCCGTTGCTTAGCATGTCTGTGTTCCCTAGAGGCTTCCTGACGTTTTGCTATGGCTCTCTTAACTTCCTCATCCCACCAACTTTTGGGTTTGTGACTTCTTTTCCGGGGTGAGTTGTCCCGTGCCCTAGCAAGCTCTAGCCCAAGCAGTCTAATTAGATTTGTGTATGTCCACACAGTTTTATTATCCTCAGTGATTACTTTCTCAATTTGTTTAGTAGCTATTTCAATTTGCCTTTCTGAATAAAAATTTTCCTGTAGTTGCTCGTGTTGTCTCCTTCCCACTTTTGCTGGTCTTCCAAAACTTAGCTTGATACGTTTGTGATCACTACCCAGATTTCTGGAGCCACCTTCATCTATGTGCAATCGCCTGAGCTTATCATACATTCTATGTGACATCAGTGTGTAATCTATCGTCGGCTGGAGACTTCCTACTTCCCATGTTATTTGCCCTCCACACTTCTCGGTACTGTTGCAAATGATCATATCATGCCTTTCACACATATCCTTGATCATTTTGCCTGTTGAGTCAGTATACCCATCTATATCTTCTATGTGCGCATTTATATCTCCTGGTATAATTATCTCGCACTCTCCTTCTAATTCCTCAATGTCCTTTGATATACACTCCACCATTGCCTGGTTTTCCTCTCTTGCCTTTGCTCTTCCCCTCTTAACTATAATTGTTCCATGCATCCCTGCTTGACTCTTTGCCAACCCATGCTGCTATGTATAAATGCAGCAATTCCACCTTTCTTTTTGCTGCCTTCTGTTCTATTGCAGTATTCCCATACGTAGTCCAGATTGCAGGGTGGTTGCTCCATGTCCCGAAGATGTGTCTCCACAACCCCATATACCATCAGCTCCTCCTGCCTCAGCTGCTCTTCTATCTCTTCCCACTTTAACCTATTCCTGCCACCCTGCATGTTAATATAGCCTACATCTGACTTAGCTCGGCCCTTGTGCTTACGTCGATTTCTTCTCCCACGTACTTCGTGTGGCTTGAATATTTGTGCCCCCTTAAGTCCGCATTTGGCTACACTGTTGGCCTCAGGGCTCTGGGTAGCAGTTGTATTTTTTTGCTTATTTAATGTTGAAATCAAAAACAAATAAGTTTTTTTCATATTGAGCGTCTGGGAAACCATTAGCTTGTGTGCAGACGACCATTCCGGCGATATCTGAGCCACGGGGCGGCGTTTTGTTATTGTTTATGTAGTGCTGTGCCGCACCGTTCAGACGGTCCAGCAGCGGTGTGCGCGTTTTCATGGGCCTCGCACCTAACCGTGGCGTACTGCATGTGTTCGACAGCATCCGTTCTTTCTGCCGCATTGTTAGCTACGTGATTTTCCTCCGGTGGTGGTTGTAACCAGGTGTCTGAGCTAGAAACGACTGAAGGAGCGCGCGTATGCGTACTCCGAATTTGCAGCGTCCGTCAAAATTATGCTGAAAAGCCATCATAGAAGATAACGACTGTGCTCAAGAATTCGTTCGATGAATGCCTTGCAGGGTAGTGACAGTTATGCGGTGTTGCTTCTTATGACAACGGACGATGCATTTGGGGTCCACAGGCCCTTATTAGGACTGTAATCTAATCTTGCTTTTCATGTTCCTGTACAGTTACCTCATGCTTCTGAACATTAAAGTTCCTGTTCTGCTTCGCTTAAGATGCTCACTCTTCGTAATATTGTCTTGCTCTCCGCAATATTGTCTGTATTGTAGCAAAACTCGTTAAAATGTCTACACGCACCTCTACAAGGTAACTAGATGCACCTCATTAGATGCGCGTGCTTGTGCATTCAGAAGCTGACAAAGCCGTTCGAACGATGTATACCAAGTGATTTGAGAACTCGAATAGAAAAAGTAAAACATATTTTAATGACACTTACGACAATAGCAAGTATGTGGTAAAATTGTGAAGTATACAAGGAGCAGTATATGTATAATTCAATGATGCACAGAAATACTTCACCGCAAATATTTGTGGCTACAGCAATCAAAAAAATCTGTCGCGTTGTTTGTCTTTAAAAAATAAGAAACAGAAACTTTTGTCTATGAGCATTAGCAGCATGTATTTCAAGTCTTCTTCGGGGAGGTTTTAGGTGTACCATTCAAAAGCAAATGCAAATTAGATACTAAACAATACAGATGTAAGAAGCATAGGTCAGCAAAACTTGTGCAGCCTACTCAAACCGACTTATTAAATCTATTTTGCGCTTAGGGCTCACTCGGACTCACACTCGCGAGAATTTTCTTCAACCCCTTCGAATTCACCTTAACAGACTCATCTGATTTAGAGTGAGCTGTCTCGTGAGTTCGTTAGCCTAGAATGAGCTTGTTCAACCATGCTGTCGCTGCTCTTTAACATCAATATCTCACATAATTGGTTCTCTTCCTGGCACCTATTGACATAGTACCTTCGAATACGAGTTGTGAGTGCTCCCAAACTAGTACGGTAATTTTTCTTGAAAGCATGGCAACATAAGATATGTTTATCAAGAGCTTCCCTAGAAGAATCGGAGAGGTGGTTAGGTGAAGGCATGTCCATCTGTAATTCGCACCCCTGATCAATAAACAGTGCAATAGGGCATGAGCGATGCTGGTTTGGAATACGTTTATTAATCAGTGCAATTGGGCGTGAACGACACTGCTTTGGAATTCTTTTGAGTATACATGAGTATAAACGTGAATTCAGGTGATGCTGATAGTAATGCTGAAGATTAGTAGATAGCTTGGTAAAAACAGTGGAACTCACTTAAAAAATGTATCTTGCGCTTTGTACTCGCTCAGACTCACCAAATATTTTTTCTGAGCCTAGACTCACACTCAAAAAAAATTTTATATTACTCCCACCGACTTACTCAGACCATAGATGACTTACTGAGACCACCTATGGCAGTAAGTTGAGTGAGTTCGCCAACCTATGGTAGTAAGAAGGGGGTGTGCAATATGAATACCAATACAATTGCGAGTACACGCAAGTGTTAAACTTATGTGTATGCTAAATTCTGAGAGAAGCATTGAAGCACGCATAATCATTTCTGTGTAATGAACATAAAGTGTACCAAAAACACAGTTTAGGTACATTTCAGCCATTTAGGTTTGGGATGATAGTCATTTTATCCAGTTATAAACTTATTCATTGATTTACTGAGCACTCAAATGAGAGGCAAACACAGAACAGAGTGGGTGTGTGCAAATTGGCTTGTAAAAATCACATAGATCCGTAAGAGAAGACATTTCAACTGGCAGGTTGTGGATAATGTCATCGAAACAGCAGATAAATAAGAGTCAAGCACAGAACATCTGAGTATACTTGGCAGCATTTAGGCATTAGGGCAAAAACTTGCAACATCACACATAAGGAACACTGATCTGGACTA